CATCCTCTAAGGTCACACCAAGAACTCAGGTACTAGATAAGAAATATCCAAAGGTGATCGTTACTTCACCATCCATGTTTCTTTATAAAGACGACAAGCAAGTTCCATGGAGTTATGAATGCCAAATGAAGGAGATAATGGGAGGAAATGAAGAAGTTGATGAAGTCGGACATTTTACCAAAAGTGGGAGATGTTATTCTAAGGAATCTGAGAAACAAGGTCTAGTTGATAAAGGGAAAAAGGTTAAGCTATAGTTAAAAGAGGATGAAACTGTCATCAATGAACATGTAACTAAAAATTAAGCTATAGAATTCTTGATGTTTCTCAATCACAGTGAATACAATATTGTTAAACAGTTGCACAAATTACCAGCTCGTATATCAGTTTTAACACTTTTATTAAGCTCTGAAGCACATTGTAATGCTTTGCTAAAAGTGTTAAATCAAACTTTTGTACCAAAAGAATTGCCTATAAACAAATTGGATAGGTCGATTGCAAATATACAGGCTGACAATTTCCTTTCTTTTTCCAAAGAAGAAATTCCTTCTGAAATGAATGGTAGCCCTAAAGCTCTGCACATCACAGTTAAGTGCAAAGGACATATTTTATCTCGAGTGTTAATAGATAATGGCTCGACTTTGAATGTAATGTTATTAGTGACTTTGAAGAAATTACTAATTGATAGCACACTCATGAGAAGTAATCAGAGTATTGTCTGATCTTTTGATGGAACCAAGAAGGAAGTATTAGGAAAAAATGATATTCTTTTAACTATTGGTCCGGCTACATATGAGATAGAATTCCTTTTAATGGATATTATACCCACTTATAATTGTTTGTTGGGAAGACCCTAGATTCATCAAGTAGGGGCAGTTCCATCTACATTACACCAAAAGGTAAAATTTGTAATAGATGGTAGGTTGATATGTCTTAATGCTGAAGAAGACATAGTTTCTTATTGAGTGCACTTTCAGATCATTGGAATTTGTCAATGCAACATTTGTGGCTGAGGGGAAAAAGATACTTAAACCCAAAATTTCCAATTGGACGAAAATGGGACTCATATTGACCCTAGGGAAAGGGGCAAAATCTGGAAAAGAATTAGGAAGCTATTTGCAAGGGCCAGTTAATCCAGTTTTACCTATCTCCAAGAAAGATCGATATGGTTTAGGATATCGACCGACAATAAAAGAGAGACAGAAGGGCATTAGAAAGAATCAAGAACTGAGAAAAGCAAAGTTAGTTGGAGAAGAACTTACATGGGAACCAATGACCTTTCCACCATTAAATAATACTTTTGTATCGGGAGGACATGTTTTCCAAGAAGATCAGCAAAGTAAAAGGCTGGTTGTTGAATATACTTTGAAAGAAATGAGTATCAATGTCATATCAGATGATGAATCTGCAAAAAAGAAAGTTATGGGCATTTACCCTCAGATTTTGAGTTAAATAATTGAACCGCGAAAGAATTACCTGTAGTTTTCAAGTCTTTTTCAGAGTAATACACCAACACTTTCATTGTTGCCTATACCTTGGGGGAATAGTTTGATTTTGTGTAAAGGGTTAAACTATGTGTTTTTCTTTTTCAATAAAAGATACATTAGTTCTAAATGGCAATCATTTTTAAGATGCATTTTCATGATTATATGTATATATTTTTGTTTATTTTTCTTTCAGGAACTCAAATATCAATGACATAGATGCTAATGACGCTGGCCCTAAAATTGATTTTGAGTAGCTTATATGTCCTGAGGAAGTTGAAGGTTATGGTGAAGGATGTGATTTACCCCCCAAACTGTTAAAAATTATAAAAAAATAGAATAAACAAATTCTACCTCATAAGGAACCTATTGAGATCTTAAATTTAGGTTCTAATGTGGAAAAGAATGAGGTGAAAATTGGTACCACTTTATCTAATAAAGGGCGACAAGATTTGATTGAATTACTGCAAGAATACAAGAATGTATTTGCTTGGTCATACGAGGACATGTTAGAATTGGATATAGAATTAGTAGTACACAAGTTACCAATAAAATTAGAATGTAAGCCGGTACAACAAAAGTTGAGAAGAATAAAACCAGAAATTCTACTCAAGATCAAAGAAGAAGTAAAAAAACAATTCGATGCTGGGTTCTTTAAAGTGGCCAAGTACCCTGAATGGGTAGAAAATATTGTCCCTGTAACAAAAAAGGATGGTAAAGTTCGTATGTGTGTTGATTATCGAGACCTTAATAAAGCTAGTCCAAAGGTTAATTTTCCTTGCCACACATAAACACATTAGTGGACAATACTACTAAGAATTCTTTATTCTCACTCATGGATACTTTCTCTGGCTATAATCAAATCAGAATGTACCCTGATGATATGGAGAAAATAACATTTGTCACCTTATGGGGAACGTTTTGTTATAAAGTAATGACATTTGGACTTAAGAATGTAGGATCAACTTATCAAAGGGCTATGGTAACATTATTTCACGACATGATGCATAAAGAAATATAAGTTTATGTCGATGATATGATTGTCAAAGCCAAATCCGAAGAAGAGCATGTTGAGAATTTGATGAAGCTTTTTCAGAGATTAAGGGAACGTCAGTTAAAGCTCAACCCAAAAAAAATGCACATTTGGGGTGACCTCTGGTAAACTTTTGGGATTTGTTGTAAGCCAAAAAGGAATTGAAATAGACCCAAATAAAGTCAAGGCTATTCAAGATTTGCCACCCCCACAAACCCAAAAGGAGGTTTGAGGATTTTTAAGGAGGCTTAATTATATATCTCGATTTATTTCGTAGCTAACTGAGAAATGTGATCCTATTTTTTTTCCTCATTAGAAAGAATGATTATGGGACGTGGAATGGAGAATGTTAAGAAGCCTTTGAGACAGTTAAGAAATATCTATCAAATGCTCCAATCTTGGTACCACTTATCCCAGATAAACCTTTAATTCTTTATTTGTCTATCTAGGAAAATTCAATGGGATGTGTATTAGGATAGCATGATCAAACTGAGAAGAAAGAAAGAGTTATTTATTATCTTAGTAAGAAGTTCACTGAATGTGAAACCATATATTCTTTAATTGAGAAATTGTGTTGTGCTCTGGTATGGACCACTCAAGGCTTAGATAATATATGTTATATCATACTACATGACTTATATCCGGATGAATTTGACATCCAATATGTCAGTCGAAAAGTAGTAAAAGGGAGTGCAATAACTAAATTTATTGCAAGTAGAACTTCTCAAGAATATGAGCCAATAAATTTTGATTTTCCTGATGAGGATTTAATGGCAATTTCAATAGGAGAGTCAATTGCGTCCAATGATGAATATTGGAAGTTGACTTTTGATGGTGCTTTAAATGCTTTGGGACACGGAATTATGACAATATTAGTTTCACCAGATGAAGAGCATTATCCATTTACTAGCATACTTAATTTTGATTGTACAAACAATACAGCTGAGTATGAGGCATGTATTTTGGGTCTTAGAGCTGCCATTGAACGTAAAGTAAAAATGCTCAAGGTTTATGGGGATTCAGCTTTAGTAATTTACCAAATTAGAGGAGAATGGGAGACAAAAGATTTCAAGCTAGTAAAATATCAGACACTGGTTCTGGAACTCATCAAATAATTTAAAGAAGTGACTTTCGATTACATCCCCAGAGAAGAAAATCAAATGGCAGATGCCTTGGCAACTTTGGCAGCAACATTTCAAGTAAATGAACATACAAGTATGATGTCTATTGAAATGCAGGCTTATGGATATCTAGCTCATTGTCTTAACATTGAAGAAGAATAAGAATATAAACCTTGGTACTATGATATTTTTCAATATATCAGATATCACAGTTATCCTAAAAACAACTAAAAATGATAAGAGAACTATCCGAAGAATGACATCAGGGTATGTACTCGATGGGGAAGTCTTGTATAAAAAGAGCCTGGATCAAGTCCTATTGAGATGTGTGGATACTAAGGAAGCTAAATTATTTCTTGAAGAAGTACACGAGGGAGTATGTGGTACTCATGCTAATGGGCATACTATGGTTAAACAAATTATGAGATTTGGATACTATTGGTCAACTATGGAAACGGATTGTATTAATTATGCCCGAAAGTATCACAAGTGTCAAATCTATAGAGATATGAAGCGTACTCCTCCTCATCCGTTGCATGTAATGACAACTCCTTGGCCATTCTTTATGTGGGACATAGATGTTATTGGACAAGATTTTCCCAAAGCTTCAAATAGTTATCGCTTTATTTTGGCAGCAATAGACTATTTTACCAAATGGGTAGAAGCAGCTTCTTATGCGAACATTACTCAGTCCTCAGTTTGTAAATTCTTGAAAAAAGAAATCACTTGTCGATATGGTATTCAAGAGAGAATTATTATCGACATTGCTTTGAATCTGAACAAAAAAATGATGAAATCAGTTTGTGAACAATTCCAGATAAAGCATCATAATTCCACCACTTATCGGCCAAAGATGAATGGAGCTGTTGAGGCAGCTAATAAGAATATCAATAGGCTTATAGAGAGGATGACTGAAACCTATACGGATTGGCATGAGAAACTGCCATTTGCTCTGTTAGCCTATCGAACTTTAGTACGAACATCGACTGGGGCAACTCCATTTTCATTAACCTATGGGATGGAAGCAATTTTACCTATTGAGGTAGAAATTCCCTCATTATGAGTTTTATCAGAAGTAAAATTAGATGAGGTAGACTGGGTACAAGCTAGATATGACCAGTTGAATTTGTTTGAGGAAAAAAGAATGAAAGCAATTTGTCATGGTCAGATGTAACAAAAGAGAATGATACGAGCACATGATAAGAAAATTCACCTCCAAGAATTTTAAGAAGGGGATCTTGTACTCAGAAGGATTTTACCTTTTCAAAAGGATTTCCAGGGAAAATGGATGCCAAATTGGGAAGGACCTTATGTTGTAAAAAAGGTTTTTTCTGGAGGAGCTTTAATCCTTGCTGAAATGGATGGACCTGAATTACCTTATCGAGTAAATTCAGATGCAATTAAAAGGTATTTTGCATTAAAGAAAAGAAGGATTTGAAGAATTCCATATCTTCATCATAATTTCGAGATCCTTTTGACAGAAGCTATACTCGAATCACTTTGTGGTGAGCCAGTTCAAAAGCATTTATGCTATTGGTATTTGAAGATGCCTACTTTGTCATTACAAGTAAAAGTTTGCCATGTAAATTCTTTGCATGAATAAAAAGAAACATTTTCTTGTTAATTCTTTTTACAAAACATCTTGATTTGAAAATTTAAAACATGTATTTTAATTTGAAGTACATAAAATCATGGTGTATTATTGTACAAAAAGTCTTTGAAAAATACAGACATTCTGAGGCTAGCAATGTTTTAACATATGGTGGCATGATACATGAAACATTGAAGTGCATAGGAGGTTTCAGATACTTGATGATGATCTGAAATATTTGTCATTAATTGAATAATTTGTCATTTGGAATTCAAGAAGAACAAAGACAAGTTTAGGTTCAACCAAAAAGGATCAATATGGTCGGTTGAGATAAAATGATTATGTTTGCTGCACCCATGATTAGACTAAGTTAAGAATGGACAACAAAAGGGGGTCTTTGTTCGAAGAAAAAGAAGATACCCTGAAATTTTGTCATTACACACATTTTAGGCATAAATAGGATCATGACATTTATAAATGCATGATAGCAAACACGAAATAACATTTGCAGGTTTTTTCAGAAATTCGATCAATCCCGAAATTTGATTTCCACGAAAGAGTAGTGGAAGCAAATCAACCTTGAATCTGATCTTCACAGAAGAGTAGTGAAACAGATTCTTTCAAGTCAATCTGATCTCCACAGAAGAGTAGTGGAAACAAGCAATGCAACGAAGCCTTCACAAAAGAGTAGTGAAGCAATGCAAATTCAGCCTTCACAAAAAGAGTAGTGAAGCAATACAAATTCAACTTTCACAAAAAAATTAGTGAAGCAAGATCAGATCAAAGTTCGATCTCCACGAAAGAGTAGTGGAACGAATTTTTATCAAATAAAAAGCCAGTTGACGAAAACTTCTTGTCTTTTTATCTTTGCTTTATTATTGTTAACACAAAATAAGCAAAGAGGGGCAGCTGTCGACATTAGTTTTCGTCCGAGTGACATTTATTTTATATATATGTTATAAATATTATTATATTATAATTATATTATTATTATTCTTAACAGTTACAATTTTACAGGCCCCAAATATAAAGCCCAGATTACAACCCGAAGGCCCAAACTACAAGTCTAAATTCCAAAGCCCTATTACAACCCAAACAGCTATGTTACAAACAATTCTTATCAGCCCATGACCCAGTTCAAGCCCGGATTCAATCTGAACGGCCCAACAGGCCCAAAGAGCAGACCCAAGTTCAACTAGGGTGAGTCACTACCATAACTTCGGTGACTCACCGGGGTTCACTCCATTAACCGGTCAAAAGAAAGCATCGAAAGCCCTTATAAATAGGGTGAGCCTGCAAACGAACAAGAACAACAAGAAACAAGCCAAGTCAGTATCCAATACACAACAACAAAGCCAACAAAATAGAGAGAATAGAAAAAAGAGTCTTACCCTCAAAGTTTCAGCCATTAACAGAAGCAAACAACGTCACCGGAGAAACCATTTTTTTGAAGGTAAACTTTGTAGATCTACTGCTATAGGATTATTTTTGGTAGAAAACAAGGTCAGATCTAGGTTCAGGGGAAAGAGAGCTTTATTTTGGTATAACTTTGTAAAATCCCGCCACCGTGAGTGGTGGTCGACAGTGGCTATTGGCGGTGGTGGCCGGTGGTTGGCCGTTGAATGGTTTCCCTCCGGTGAGGGAAACCTAGTGAGAAGCAAGAGCTTCTCTCTAAGAGAGAGAAGCAGAGAAGGGAAATGAGGCTTTCAGCCTCTTTAGGCCTAATAAGGCCTATTTATATCCCTCCCCGAACGACGTCGTTTTGGGGAGGGACCTACGTGTAATATCTGTTATGTGTAATGTAATTTTGTAAACATTCAATTTAGTCACTAAAAGCATGTTTTCGTATATTTTAATCTAATCTTTAAGTTTTATTAATTCTCATTTTTGTCATTGCTACCTATATATATATATATATATATAGGTTAAATATCACATTTAGTCCCTTAAATATTAATAGTTCATATTTTAATATTGTATTAATAATCTAGGGTAAATTACATAATTTGTACATAATTCTAGTAAGTATTTCGAATTAAAGTAATTAATTTTATTATTTTATTTTTTAATCATTAATTATTTTTATATGATTAATTGATATTTATACTTAGGATTATTATCATGCATAATTTATAAGTTAATTTATATAAGTTATAATATAATATTATACTGAGATTAATAATATATAGATTAAATATTACTTAGTAATTGTTTATTATTTAAAAAAATTATAATTTATAGCAAAGACATTAATTAATAAATATCGGTACTAATTTTGGACGTTATGGGGGTACTAATCCTTCCCCATACGTAACTGACTCCCGAACTCATTTTTCTGGTAAGCATACCTGGGTTGTATTATTTTAATAATATTCTTAGGAATTTTATTAAAGTAATATTACATTTTTTGTGACCAATCTCACCAAATTAAAAGATTGGTGACGACTCTACAATTTGGTGTTTCATCTGATTCAGGGAGGATAAACACTTACTTTTTCGAGACTAGTTACACCCCCTTGAGGTGTACTATTTGCACTCTTCGTCGCCAGGCAGAGAAACGTCTCGACATCGATGGCTATGATGATACCAATATATAATTAGCTATGACTGGTGGAAATTATACCAAGGCATGTGTGACATCAGATTCACCCATTAATTATTAGTACCTGATTGTTATTGTGAAAGTGATTTCTACAATTGTGTATATGCATGTGATGATGTATGACTTGTATTTGTTGAGACTATAGATCAAAATATGTTCATGACTAGGACTTTAGTTGTGGACTAAGGAAAGTATGAGACTAATATTATTGTGAAAGAAATAAATAAACCTTAAGCATGTAGCTCTTGGATTTATGAATCATTCACGTATTTATTTTTTATCATTATTTCTGCTAGAATGTTTATGTTTATGAGATTTATGATGTATATTGTAGGTTAATGATATACCACAGAGCTTTGTAAGGCTCAGCGTTTGAATGTTTCCGTTTGTGGGTTAGTAGCACTGTCGTAATATTTCCAACATCTTCCTCTAAAGTATTGTATTATTACTTTTAGTGGATATTATATTCATAAGATCCTTATACATGTATTGAGATTGTAAACTAAGAGATTTATGTTATATTAATTTGTTTTAAACTATATATCATGGAATTTCAATTTTATAAATATTTTATAACGATGATGAATGTGGTATTTTGATAAATCATATTATATTTTAAAAATGAAATAGAAAAATATTTTAAATTTATTGATTTCTTCAGTAGCCCAATATAACATGTTAAGTTCATATGATGGTGATCAAGTTTGGGAAGTTACATGTTATGTTTGATTAGTCTCTATTCCAAATGGATGTGTTTAATGCTTTTCTACAACATGACCTACCTGAGGAAGTTTACATGATACTTCTAGAAGGCTTTCACAACCATAGGGATACATGTGTGTTTCGGTTGCTTAAATCTTTGTATGGATTAAAGCAATCATTGGGTCAATGGAATTTGAAAATGATGAAAGCTTTTGTGTTATGTACAGAGTCTACATGATTATTCTATGTTCACAAAGTGAAAAAAAAGATAAACTAGTCTTTGTGTTAGCCTATGTTAATGGTGTTTTGACTATGGGGAATGATGGTGATTTAGTAGGCGAGCTAAAAACTATTCTTCATCAGAATTTTAAGATGAAGGATCTTGGTTATCTCAAGTAATTTGTCGGTATTGTGATTGTTAGATCAAAGGAAGGCATTGGGTTGAATCAGTGAAAATATGCCTTGAAGATTGTAGTTGATTTAGGTTTAAAGGGAACACGATGTACATAAACCCCACTTGAACAAAATCAGAAGCTCATGATCACGGTTGAATATGATAAAGCAACAAAGGCTTTGACACAAGGTGAAGTCCTTGAAGATGTTGGGATGTATCAACGGTTTATTGGTCGTTTACTTTGTTTAACACATAGTCAACCAAAAATAACATATATTGTCCAACACTTGATCTCGTTCATACAAAGGCCTAAGAAGTTTCATTATGAGGCAACTCTTTGAGTCATAAGGTATATGAGGAAAAATAATGGCCAAGGCATCTTTTTTGCAATAATACTCAACTAATGTATTTTGTAATTCTGATTGGACATCATGTCCTATGATAAGAAGATCTGTAACAAATTAATGTACCAAGATGGGAGAATTGTTAGTATGTTGAAAGTTAAAGAAATAACATGTTGTGTGAAGATCATCAACAAAATTCGAGTATAAGGGAATGACTTCAACAATAGCCAAGTTCTTGTGGTTGAAAGGTTTGATTAATGAGTAAGGGATTAAACACGATGATCTAGCAATGGTAGTTTTTGATAATCAAGCAGCATTACAGTTTGCAGCTAATCTAATATATCACGAACACAAAAAATATGTAGAGATACATTATCATATTATACGAGAAAATATTCAAAAGAATTTTTTAAGGATTCATTATGATCAACAAACCGATATATTGAACCAAAGATCTTAAAGTTAGCATAAACATTTGTTATTCAAGTTGGGGGTAAAAGATGTATTGCCACCCATTTAAGGAGAAGTGTTAAGAAATAGTTAATTAGTTATATTTGTTAGTAGCGGTTAGATAATGGTTTTAAATTAGTTGTAAAGTTATATATAAAGGTGCAATTGAGTTTCACTGTGATCTAGTTTTTTTTTTTCCAGAATGATAAATTAGTTAGATAATGTTAACTTTTGACATGTGATTTTCATTTTGTAGTTGTATGGGATGTTTTGTAGCCCTTTTAGTGGATACTGTTAATAAGTTATTTTTATTATCGGAGACAAAAACAATTGTTTCTAGGTATCACCGTTCACTTCAGTTATACCAGAGTTAACATTAATACTTATTTCTTTTGCTTTAGTTGTTGTTGCTAGATACTGTTTCGTGACACTGTAAAGTGCTTGTAAACTATTCATGTAATCATGTTCCTTGACGAACGTGTTCATCGCTTTTCATATTTAATCATTTCTTTTAATAATGTTTTCTCTTTATCACTGCCACATTGCATTTCCCTTGTGTAAACTTAGTTCACTGTTCCACTGGCTTCATGCTTTCCATATCAATCTTGTTCGTTTCAGTCGGGCAGTGCCTGCATGTAGGGCACGAAGAATGTGAACCAAGCCATGTATCGATACAACTAGTATGAAATCCTTGGTTGCACTCTGGCAAAATACGGAGACCCTCCCCGGCGGTGAACTCCGACAAGCATGTAACACAAGCGGTGCCGAGGTCAGGCCGTTTCGGTTCGGTTGCGTATTTTACGACCGGGAAGGAATTTAAGGCTTTCTGCTTAACTCCTCTATTGGCTAACTTGGGCTCAGCAGCAGCTGAAACTGAGCCTCTAGTTCCACACTTGACCATGCACAACAACCCTGAAGCGGAAATGATGGTGCAAACGAGGGCTAGGATGAGAACAATGGCTGCATTTGTATGGATGATGTCATTGATGGAATAACTGTGCCCTTGAGCTGGGGAAATTGCCGGGTAAAGAGAGGAGTGTAAAATAAATTTTCTTGAATGGAAGCTTTGAAGCAACTCCTGGGAGAAATGGGTGGATGTTACTGAAGTTGCCATATATAGTTTCCAAGTGTTTTTCTGGTTCAAATGGCTCAAGGAGTTGGTTCCATTGAAGGATTTTATACATAAAAAAAAGTAAACTCCAAGGTTTTATTCAACAAGTTTCATCCCCCACTATGCCTTGTGTAGCTCAACGTATAATCTTTTTTAATATTGCTGAAAGGTCAATTTATCTTTTTAGCAGCCAGAAAAGTAGCCATTGCTGCTTTCCATGGAAAATCTAGTTACTGGCCGGTATTCATGTTATCCCAATTTTCAAAGTAGAGTAAGTATTAACCACAAAGATTGATTAAGTGATAAGTAGTTTAATATCACTTAAATAAAATCTTAAGTTCGAGTCTTTGTGTGTGTATAAAATGTCTGATGTGAGAAATACCCACCAAAATTAAATATGTAACATTGGTCGATCCGAATTGTCCAATCATGAAACATGCAGCATGTTAGACCCTCCCTTCTTTCTCTTCTTAATTATATTTTTTTGTTCGAACATATCATCCCTAGATAAGCTAAAAGTGGAAGGCAATCAGGAAAAGGTAACAAAAAGCGATACTAATAAAATGCTAAACTTTATGATGAGATGGTTCAAGTGGTAAATGATTTATTATTTTTTAAGTTGTATGTAAAAAATCTCTATCCCAAAACTCACCTATTAAAATTAAGTGTACAACACGAATCAATTCAGATTAATAAAGATAAATTCTTACAAAATCAGGAGGGAAAAAATGCTAATGTCGGATAAAGGGGAAAAAGAGAGGCAACGAGATTAAGGTTATGACGAGACTAACCCTTGCATTATTTTATCTTAAATAACTAACCATAAGGAAAAGATCAGCATCCAATAGATACGGAAAATGCAGTTTATAGGTAAAGGAAGATGCACTATAGAGGTATTAGTACAAGAACGAGTTTTAGAATACTGTCATAGTATACAAAAATTATTATTATAAATTTTAATTTGAAATTAAAAAACAACAAAATCCACGTAAAATTAATTATTATTTAAAATTAAATATTATTTATTTATTTATTTTCTTTATCTAAATTTAATCTTTTGAATAGTAAAAACTACCAAATAAGATTAATTTATTATTAACTAATATAGAGGATAGATAATACCCATATCAAAAGTGATATAAATGTATACCACACACTTTGATTAAAATTCAAAACTAAAGAAATGGACAAAAATTTTGAATGTTAAGTTTACATTAAATTCATGGTCCATCTTTTTTTTTCATTATATTTTTTAGTAACAAATTTAAAAATTCAGATTAATTAAATTTTTGGGTAAACTATATGGCCCTTATGTTTACGATCCATCCAATTTTTGATTATCGGTTAAAATAAATTTGATGACGCCCTATTCTCATGCATGAGCACAATTAAATCTCTAAAAATTCTTTATACATCTTAATAGATCCGGGATGAATAGAGATCAATCTACCATAAGCTTTACTAAAAATATCCGTTTTTAACTCAAAATTATCATATACATAGATTCGTTTACAAAAATGAAAGAGTACATCCTAATTATCAAGGAAATCGGAATTAAAATCATTATCGATCCAATCGCATAAGTTCTGAAAATCAATATCAATAGGTTGAAATCTCTTAATCCTCGAAAGGAAATGGAAAGGGCTACAAGTTTTGGTCAGCAAATTTCTATTCTTTCGGACACTAAAATGAGCGTTCTTAGCTCTTAATACACCAAAATGAGAGAATAAATAGGTGTTCAATATCAAATGGTTGAGAGTTATCTTTGAACAAATATTGCCTTATACTTATCTCAGATTAATAAAAAAAAACCAAGGGTCGATAAATTAAACGGGTTAGATAAAATGAAACGATCTGGATAAAAATAAAATATCACCATTTTTAAAAGAAAAAATGTAGTAAAAATCGACTATTACACTTATATATATTATTGAGTAATAATAAATTAACTGAAAGAAGACAACTCGAATACAATTACCACAGCTACAAACCACGGGCGACGTACACTGCACAAAGAATTTTACAGATTTATTGACAAATAAAAGAAAACACAAACATGATGCAATCCTTACATACATTCAGTGTCTGCAAGAGCAGTTTGAGTGAGATGATTGATGTCTGGGCCATCACATCACATGGAGGAAGCATCTGGACATGGAGGAATACATATATCAGTAATCCCTTCCAGCATCATAACTACAGTATTTATTGAAGGACGAAGAGCTGGTTCGTCTTGAATGCACCAGAGTGCCACCATCACCATTCTTTCCAAGCTTTCCTTGTCCACTTGTTCATCACCCACAAGCTTATCCACCTCTCTTTCAACCAAGCATCTATACACCAGTCTCGACAGAATGATCTCCTCTGGTTTTGACACATTGGTGTCCAAGTTTCGTCGGCAAAACACCGTTTCCAGTAGCACGATTCCGAAACTGTAAATGTCGGCCTTCACTGAGATCGGAGTGTTTCTATTCCATTCTGGTGCCATGTACCCTCTAGTTCCCCTCACTACTGTGAATGTCCTTGTATGATCTCCCATCAACAGTTTTGCCAGCCCGAAGTCTGAAATTTTAGCTCTCCATGAATCATCCATCAATATGTTTTGCGGCTTTATATCACAGTGAATGATTGGTGTCTCACATTCCTCATGTAAGTAGAGGAGTCCTCTAGCAACATCTAGGGCTACTCTCCTTCTTTCATTCCAAGATGGGCGCCTTGTTGACTTGAAAAGTAGGTCTGCAAGGGACCCATTGCCCATGTACTCATACACCAAAAGCCTCTTGGAATCCTCGACACAGTATCCCAATAGTCGAACTAAATTTCTGTGGTGAGCTCTACCGATTGCTCTTGTTTCTGCTTGGAACTCTTTTTCACCTTCTTCCACTAACTTCTCCAGTCTCTTCACGGCGATCGGCTTTCTTCCTCGGTCTAGAGTTCCTTTGTAGACTGCTCCAAACGATCCCTTACCCAACTCTTGTTTAAATCCATTTGTGGCTCTCTTGAGTTCCTTGTATGAAAACGACGTCAACATAAGCTCTCTGGTTAGGCCCAAATCTCCCATTTCCAGCAGCCTTTTGTATCTTAGAACTCGAAATTTATAGATGAATACACCAGAGGCTGTAAGAAAAGCACATGAACATGCAACGAGAATGGAAGATAAAACAAGAATCTGCACGACCGAAATTTCCCGTTTGATTAGGAACTTTAAATCAGGGGAAGCAGTGTCGTTATTTGCTTCAAGGCATATGATTCCCACCTTCAATAAAACAGTGGTATTCATTTGAGCATCGATATCTCGTAGCAAATACCTGAGTGGAAGCTTTTGTTTCTTGCAAACTCCATCGAACTGCGCTGCCTCGCAATTGCAGTCTTCCAGACATGTTCGGATGCAGGCATCCTTGCTCAATCGCTCTTTACTGTAAAATCTACCCGAAGTCCATTCTATACCTTGCATTGAGGTGATGTTATAAAGGGGTATATTGGCCTTCCCTCCTTTGCAGTGTGCTTCCGAATAATTTCTCTTGCAGCCGATGGTGTTCTGATTAGGATCGATAAAATCAGTCCCGGGAAGGCATGCACAGTAAGGCCGGTTATCATTGAAGGTGCAATAGCTGTTGAAACCGCAAAAGCCTTTGATTTTACAGGAATTTACCAACGCACGCAACATTGCGTAAGTTTGGAATCCACCATTTGGCTCAAACACATGAGCATATAACCGGAAATTCCCATCAACATCAAGGCTTGCACTGTAAACAATACTCTTGTTGTTGTTGCTGCTGCTCTCGGTGAAGTCACTGTAGCTCTCCTCTTGATTAGGTAATTGAATTGTGCTGTAGACGGACGAATCAAAGTTGTTGATGAGTTGTAGGACGCCTGTCGAGTTAAGGCGAAGCGACGAATTCGTCTTAAAAGTATCTGTGCTCCAGTAGGCAGTTGTAGGAGAATCTTCGGATTCTAGAGGGTATAGAACAAGATTCCCATCGTTTTGCATACTGAGATGATACCTTCCAGCTGAGGGATCATTTTCTGATAAACTGGAGATCAACTGACTATTAGTTAGTAGACTCTGACCACCTAGAATGGTATCAGTAGGATGCTGGAAACTCTCCCAAATGATATGATTATCTTTGTTGTAGATAACGAAATTGCCTGAATCTAGCATGGAGGCAGAGTAGGCATCCGAGTGGTTTCCATTAGCAATAAACATCTTCTCTCCGCTCTCATCCGTCGAAAGAATCACTCCTTTCTCATTTAACTTCAGAGTAGCATCTGAAGTGAAAGGCGGATCATCACGGTTTGCTGTCCATATAACTTTGTTAGCCTTCTTTCCATTGCCGTCCAACCAAACTCCAACATAAAGGCCATAGCCTCGATTGTAAAAACCGAACGCAAAGCGACGAGAAGGCGAAGTCCATGATGTTGTTTGAGTGGCCGAGGAAAGCGAAGCTCCCAACGGAATGATGCAGCTTGACTGCCGCACACACAGAGAAGAAAAGAGCAAAAGAAGAGCCGACACCAAGGCCATGGGAAATAATCTGTGTGTCTCTTCTAATTTGGAACTGGTCCAAATAGATGGCTGAGGTCTCAAATAAGAGTTTTCTATGGAAAAAGATTGGAAAAATAATGACCAAGGAATCTTTTTTGCAACAAGACTCAAATAAATGTATTTTATAATTCTGATTGGACATCATGTCCTATGATAAGAATATCTATAACAAATTACTGTACCAAGATGGGAGAATTGTTAGTATGTTGAAAGTTAAAGAAATAGCATGCTGTGTGAAGATCATCAACAGAATGAGTATAAGGGAATGACTTCAACAATAGCCAAGTTCTTGTGGTTGAAAGGATTGATTAATGAGCTAGGGATTAAACACGATGATCTAGCAATGGTATTTTCTGATAATCAAGCAACATTACAGATTATAACTAATCTGATTTATCACGAATATAAAAAATATGTAGAGATACATTATCATATTATACGAGAAAATATTCAAAAGGATTTTGTAAAGATTCATTATGTTCAACAAATCGATATACCAAACCAAAGATCTTAAAGTTAGTAAGCATAAATATTTGTTATTCAAGTTGAGGGTAAAATATGTATATCACCCACCAATTTAAGAAGTGTTAAGAAATAGATTATAGTTGTATTTGTTATTAGCGGTTAGATAATGGTTAAATTAGTTGTAAAGTTATATATAAAGGTGCAATTGAGTTTCATTGGTGATCTAGTTTTTTTTTTTCAGTATGATAAATTAGTTAGATAATGTAAACTTTTGTCATGTGATTTTCATTTTGTAGTTATCGGGATGTTTTGTAGCCCTTTTAGTGGATACTCTTACTTATTCCTTTTGCTTTAGTTGCTGTTGCTAGATACTGTTTCATGACACTGTAAAGTACTTCTAAACTATTCATGTAATTATGTTCCTTGACGAACGTGTTCATCGCTTTTCATATTTAATCATTTCTTTTAATATTATAAGAATAAAAAATAAATATTTAAGTAGTATCTTTCCACTTATAATTTTTTCTATAAATTTACTTAAGTTTGTAGTTTGAGCGTGATGTTTGTTTAAATATACCTTTTGTAACACACTCAATCCAGTTTAAATAAAAATGTCACGAAATTCAGTTGAAACCAAACAAGGAGTGGAATCATGAACATGTTGAGTGGAACTGGTCCAAATAGATGGCTGAGGTCTCAATTAAGAGTTTTCTATGGAAAAAGATTGGAAACTCCTCTGAGTTTACTGTATATTAAGTCCTTTTTACTCTTTCCAATTAATTCGTAGGACCAACAAACGTGGAAATATTTACCTGCTAAGTTCTTGCGCACTGCACACTCAGTTATTGCTGGTCTACTCACTCAATTATTGAACCAATTATTTATAGCCTAAAATAATTTAATTATTTACATAGATATTATAAAAGTATAACAATTTGAATGGTGATTTTCCGGATAAATCATCTTTTTTTCTTTTTAATTTCCTGTCACACACCGTTCAGATTATATTTTTTGATCTAACATCTTTTGTAGAAATGCGCTCTGTCGTCACGTGGGGTAAGATGCCCCCTGCAACGCGCCTTATGCTGAGTTGGACACACGTGGCTAAGGCGCGGCCCCTGGGGCGCGCCTTACGTCACGTAGGGCTATAGCGCAGTGCAGGGCCACACTTTAACTTTAATTCTGACACGCGTCAGAAAGGCGCGCCCCTGTAGCGCGCCCCTGTAGCGCGCCTTGGGTTTAATTACCTAACTATCTCGACCGTTCACACCCCCATCCCTCCCTATAAATACTCTCATTCTCAATCACTTTCATTACACCAAATCCTCTCAACTTCTCTCAAATACCCTTAGATTATCTTATAACTGTTTAAATTATATTTTATTATATTTAGTATTTTGTTTGTAATTTATTTAAGTATTTAAATTTTTTAATATATTATTTAATTAATTTTTTTGCAGATATTTTTTGTAATTTTTTTATTATTTATCATTAAATACTTACTTTATTTTGTTAATTTGGTTGGATTTTTTTATAATTTATTTTGTTTATTTTGTTGGACTTTTTTTTTAATATATTTTGATAATTTTGTTTATTACCATTTAATATCAATTATTGTAATTTGGTTATTATTTACCAATTAATACTTATTTTAAGTTTGTTGTATTTAGAATTATATTCAAATACCAAATTATTATTAGTTTATTAGTTTGATAAAATTAAATAATTTTGTTCGATAACTTTCTTAAGTTTGTCACTTATTACATCTTTTATTATAATCACATATAACGCCAACGTCCAATCTCGTTATCGCCAACGTCTAATCTCGTTATCTTGTATCATTTTTTTAATATTCATCAGCGGTTATTGAATGACATTAATTTTATGTAAATGCAAATTAAAGTACAAGAATTATTATTTGATAAACAACTACATTAGTTCCTCATCAATTGTTACTTGATGGCAACAACAGTGGACATGTTCTCCTAGTGTGTCCATAGTTTCTACAATGCCCACATTTTTTGGCCTGTCTTCTGGTTTCTTGAATATCCATATCACAATGCGAGTGGATTTTGGACGACCACGCTCCCTCAATAAACTCGGATTTGGTACAATCGGAACCTAATTCTGAACCTCATCAGGGTCTTTGTCATTACCTATGGGGGGAACTCAAATTCGTATACCTTAAAAACTTCTGATAGTAGGTATACGGGATCCACAAAACGGTTATAGTCTTGATGGGTATGCGAGCAAGATGCTATCACATGAGAGCATGAATACTTAAAAGCTTGAAAAAACCCGCAGTCGCACGTTCTATCCCGTAGATTTACTCTTAACGACACAACTTCAATCCCTTGAAGAGGTCGCGGTAACTCTGTGGCACGAAACAATGCATGTGTTCTAGAGAAGCTTGTTACAGACATTCCATTTGACGCATCAATTTTTTTTGTAGATCTGCAACTAATCTAGGGTGATAGACATGACCGCATTGCATCCAGGTTTGAGCTTGTCCCCCGAGCTTCGTAAAAAGTGCCCCCAAACGAAAATATGTAGTTTTAACCAAAGCCGCTACAGGTAAGTGACGTGCACCCTTTAAGGTCGAATTGATTGCCTCAGCCAAGTTGATCGTCATGTGTCCATATTGATATCCACCATCATATGTGTTTGTCCACATTTCTTTATCGATGAGGCTGATGTAATCGTATCCTTCCTCGTTCTTCGCCAGCAAATCTTGAAGCATTGATTCAAATGTTTGAGGAAGTAGTTCGTAACCTGGTCAAAAAATGTAGAACTTACTAACTTTGTTTATTTGCAAAATGAAAATGATCGAAAGAAAACAAACTACACCAGTTTCACTTACCCATGCGCACACGTAATTGACGCTCATCATTTTTCTTGTACCTTCCATGGTAGTTCACATCAATGTGTCAGATACAATACCTATGTTGGACAAAGGGTGGTTTCCACATTTGACCCAAGACTCCATTACTGCTTTGATCCCAGTTCCGTGATCTGAAATGACACATATTTTTTCCCTCATAATAACATGTGAACGTAAGTTTCGGAGGAGAAAAGCCCAAGAATCTGTATCTTCTCCTTCAACAAGAACTAAAGCAACTGGAAGAAACTTGCGATTACCATCTAGGACAACTGCCAATAATAAAACTTGTTTGTATTTTTCATACAAGAAA